TGAATGATGAAGATGAATAATTGATTGATGAAGAAGGCAAGGCAAGGAAGAGGAAGGAGAAAGAAAGGGTGACTGCTGGGTTCGATTGAACCTAGGTGTTGGGCTCCTTTGAATGTAGCACGCCTGGGTTCAAAAGAATCCAAGGGTAAAAAATTTTTTTTAAAAATTGGTTTTTTTTTTTTTTTTTTGTGAGTTTTGTTATTTGATGATGATGAGGAACTCAGTAAAGGTAGAAATTGGTTGAGATGAATAGATTGGTTGAGATGTTAGAGATTGGTTAAAATATTAGGCTTTGCAAAAGTTGAAAAGGAAAAACAAAAGAGAAAGGGAGAGATGATTTTTGGGTGGGATGAGTTGGAATGCCATGTCATCAATTTTTATCAACTTGTCAATTTTTGTGTGACACGTAATGCTTGTTGTTGTCATCCGTTAATTAACGTGAAAAGATTAACAAACAGACCAAATTGGGGTTAAAATGGTAAACAGTAAGGACCAAATCAGGGTTTTTTTAATTCTGGGACCAAATCGGGGATCCGTACAATAGTTCAGAGACCAAAATAGGGTTTTAACCAAAAAGAGAGAGAGAGAAGGCACTTGTAGAAGCAAAACCAAGCCAAAAATAAAAAATAAAAAATTGTAACATGCTTAATCGCCGTCCAGTAAGATCAGTGCTTACTTGAAAGATTACATGAAATTGAAGATGATATGATGTACAAATCAGTGCTTAATCGCTATCCAGTAACTCTAATTACAAGAGGTGTGAAGGGGTGAGCTGTGAGACTGAGAGTTGTCTTGCACTCTTCAACTCTTGCTATGGCCGATAGGGACTAAGAGGAGACCAGATGGTGCGCAAAGTGGGAGAAAATATCGGCACCGAGACTTGAGAGGTGAGGTCGTGACTCGTGAGGGTAGAGGAGAGTCCAGAGGAGTGTGTAGGATGTGTGGAGACCAGATGCGATGAGTTGTTTTAGGGTTTTCTTTTTTTAATTTATAAATAAAAAAGTTGGAAAGACAAAATTAACTTTAAAAGCTTTTAACTTAAACTCTTGATGTGAAATTAACATGGTAATTCGACAAAAAAAAAAAATCAAGAAATTTAAATAGTAGCTGCTACACCAGCTCCCTGCTATTTGCATAGTGGCCACTATTAGCAGTCATAGCGGCTGCTATTGTTCACCCGCTACACTATGGAGATTTTTTATAGCAGCCATAGCTGGCCACTACGCTATGCCACTACAGCGGCTGCTATGGCCACTATTGACAACACTGCCTCAGATTGAACTTGATACTTCAGGTGTTGTCACCAAGCGAGATGTGCAATCCCAAATAATGACCCAAGCACTTCGAAAAATTCATTATTCATTATGCCATTCTCAAACTCTTATAATCTTTCTTAATCAGGTAGAAACCTAGAAGAATGATGGAACTCTCTCCCACCTTTGTTTCTGTGATAAACTTTGTGTTATGGTAGGGCATTTGGTGCTTAAAACCCAATTTGTTCCTCTATAAGCAGGTTAGATTTAAGCAGGTCATGTTTGAAGTCAAATCAGGTCAAGATCATAGACGAATGGAAGAGGTGACTTGTGGTGGAAACGCCTTGAAATTCTATGCTGCTATACGGCTGAGAATGATAAGAACTGGATTGCACAAGACTGGTGATAAGGTCTGAATATTATAGCCAAATACCATTTTTTTAATCTTCTCAATTCTCTCTCCAGTTAAAATTTAGCAAGTTGGATACTTTCTATTTCATCCTGTCGGTGTCAATTTTACTGGATGTCATATCTGTGTCGCTAGTCATATGTTTCCTCCTATGCAATTGAGATCATTTTTAATGCCTTGCTTTTAGGCAACTGGTCTTGGGGTTTGCGTGGAAGTGGTGAAAAACAAGTTGGGACCTGCAAAGAAAAAGGCCGAACTGGAAATTCAGTTTGGTCAAGGTATTTGCCATAAATCTGAGGTCCTGGACTTAGCATGTGAATATGGGCTCATCCGCAAAGAAGGAAGCATCTATTTTATAGAAGGGATGGCTTTTGGTGATAAACAGGCAGCTCAAAAGTACTTGGCTGATAATGATGGCATTCTTAATAAGTTAGTTACAGATTTAAGGACACAATTATTTGCATCAGAATCTGATAATGGTAGATGCGTGGCTGTGTGACTGTCATTCTTATGGATAAGTAAAATAGGAGTATGGTGATCGCTGAATTCTCATTTGTGATGAAGTGGCTTTCCACTGCATTAACTTTGAAGCAACTCATTGGGAGCTTTTGATCCTATTCATGATTCATCATCAGAATTCTGTATTGTAAATTCTAAACCAACAGGGCCTGATGAGACCTCTGGCGGGGTTGGAGCATACAAGATAATCCCGATGCAGGAGACATGTCTAGGTTTAGGCAAGATTCTTTGGTGAGGTAGTGGACAGGTGTAGCATTTTAGATCTATTTAGAGCATGTTTAATTATTTGGGTTTAAAGATATCCCATCCTGATTAACTTTAGTTGTACTGTAGTTCTGTAACATTTTATATAGAAATGGCTTTACTTCAATTTTGAATTCAACCTTTCAGATGCCATATGAGGAAGCTTTTTATTTTATTTGTTTATTTATTATTATTATTATTTTATCTTCAAATTTTTTTCCTCTCAAAATCTCAATCTTAGGCTAAGAGTGAAATGAAGACTAAAGAATAATCTTCAAAGATGAATGATTTACATAGGTGCCACTATTAGATATCCAAGGTACTTGACATACAATCCCAGGCAGGAATCAGGAAAAATGAGGGCAGCCAATGTAACAGTTTCATTGCAGATATCAAGTTGTGAGACATTGGAAATTCCATTTTTCTTTTCTTTTCCTTCTTTTCCTTTTTTTTTTTTTTTAAAAAAAAAGCAAGTTTATTAAATGATCACAATGAAGTTCGATATTTACAACTGATTAGCAGCCTACTTAAATGCACCATTACAAATGGCCATTTCTCAGCACTGACAACAGAATGCAGAGTTATTTACATTCAACACAAATTTCTAATCAAATTCACATGACAGTAAGTTTTGCATACCCCCAACTTCCAAACAAGACCAATATCACAAGTTGCTTCAAAGTACCGACATGGAAAGCCCTCCAGACTAACAAAACACTAGAAAATGAGAGAACTGCACTCCTTCAAAATCCGTATGTTGACATTGCACATCAGTGGTCTTCTCAATAACTATTTAGGCCCCATGTTCTCTCAAGTTTTCTGAAAATTCCAAAATTTCCATTTCACATTACTAATCCATCCAAAATCGATAAGAGGTTGTCCAGACTGTAGCTTCAATAGGTGCCTTCTGTACGGTATAAGTATATTTTTGAGACCTGCCATTAATAAAGAAAGAACATTAAAACTAAAAGGCAAGATAAAGTTACTTTCTCAACAGTCTACCACTTAGCCCATCCCCAGTCCATCACCAGATGAGAGCAGGATAAATAGTTCTCTAATGTCTTTTGGTTTTTCCATTTCATTACTATAAGAAAGCATTGCACACTGTATTAGTAAACAATGGGCATACCTGTGATACACATGGTTCTGTAAACATGAGCAACACGAGGATCTCCTTTTGTTTTCATATGTGGCCTCTCCAAGCACTCAAGAAATGCTAAGTCAGCCTTCAAAAGCTTCTCTTGATCATGTGTATCATAACCAATATCGTGACAATAGCAGCAAAAATCTAACCAATCAATTGGCCTCTTGTCCCAAATAAGAGATCCACCATCTTTCCCACTTGACCAATTAGGCCCACAGTAATGCCCATAACGTGGAAATAACTGCGAAAGAAAGGCTCTTCCACCCGTATGCCATGGAACCTTGCACACATATGGCCTAAAACGCAAAGGGGTATCCTCCCTACCAGACTCAATAATCCCTCCATGAGGCCGGGCATGCTTTCTCAACTCCTTGTTTATGGTGGTCCGTGCACAAATTTTATCTCTAGAACTAGAATTTATTGCCCATGGAAGAACTGAAAACAAGGACCAACCCCATAATCTAATATTGAAATTAAACTTCTCTTTCTGATTTTCCATAAAGGTACTAGGGGATTTGAGAGTCACTCCCAATCCCAAATCTTCGTTAGAAGGGGAACTAATCCACGGGATGGTAAGAAACCGGAAATTCATCGTTAAAAAATACAGGGAATCACCATACTATACAAATTTGCCACTAAAAATCAGCTCTTCACTGTACCTGCCATTAATAGTAATACAATACAGCAAATCTGATCAAGAAATCTGACTCCATTCACAAAATTGTAAGTAATAACAATATATTTTCTTTAAAAAAAAAAACAAAAAAACATGAACTTTCGATTCATCAATCGTAGAACTAAACAGCTTAATTCCTTCCTTAGGTTAGTAATGATGCTTTTACTTTTTGCAACTGGGTTTTTTGGCAGCACGAAAAGGGATAAACTTCTAACAAAATAAAAAAAAGAACGGACATAGAGCTACATCATATTTTCCACAAAAAAAGTGATACATAGATATTCTTCCAGTTTCCTTCGTTTTCTCAGCAACCAAACAACAAAGGCAGAAGACGAGAATCACGTAAAGTAGCTGAAATTGAAGAAAACTTACCGGCGCAGGTGACGATCGTGGAGAGATGAAAGGAAAAGAGAGTCGCGTCACGAGAGCCGCAATTCAACATGAAACTAAAGAATATAACGAACAGGTTATTTGAAGACCGATTTTTCACACACAGAGCGAATCCCACTTCTTCCGTCACCCGTCGTCTGTATTTTATGGCCCGATTGAACCCTTTTAACGCCATATTCTTTTTTTTTTTTCTTTTTTTTTATCCATTTTTCAATAATATTTTTTATTTTTTTTTGGGATTACTAAGTAGTTTTAAAATAAATGAGGACCACGTTTTCTCGATTTTAG